CCGGATCGTTATGATATCCGCCGCTGTCATCTCGGTCCGCAAAGACAGTCTATCTTTATTGTCCGCCCTGATGTGCTTGTTCATCATCCTACAGGTATTCGATGAGCTTATAATGAAGGGAAAACGCAGTGTGAACGTACTCCAGGCACCCACCAAGATCGAACGGCATCTCAGTAACCTTCCCCGTGAGTGCGGAAGTGCAGGTCAACGTGGGTGTTCTCCGCACCAGGTCGAAGACCGAAGGGTGGAGTATGTATGGGAAGATGGAAAACAGTCCACTGGACTTTGACACGAGGAGGATGCACACAGTCGCGTCGGGGAAGCCGGCGCTCTCTGCGGCCTCCTTAGTTTGGCGCCAGATCAGCTTCCAGTCCTCTTGGATCGCAGAGTCGGGTATCGGCTTGAACGCATTCAGCTGAACCATGCCAGGAATGGGTGAGTCCGTGTGGCGGCCAGTATAGACTTCCGAGAACTTTATAATTTCGGTCGGCTCAACGCCGAGGTCGAGACGCGCCACAAAAGGCTTGTTGAGCCGTGGCTGGTTGATCAGATCGAACGCGAGGACGAAGCAGCACTGGAGATTTGTGTTAAGGAATGAGCTTGCGTGGAGTATCTCGGCAATTTTCCCAACATTGACGCTGGCGTTGACGTTGCTGCAGGATGTTTTGTGCAGGGGCCTGATGACATAAGCGCCGGAAAGGACGATGATGTAGACGACGCACCAATCTTTTTTCTGGCACTGTCCAGTACATGAATACTGTACCTCTCCCACTATTTGCGGATAAACTCACTTCCTTCGAGCAATATCTCACGTGGTTACACTGGAAAAAAAAATCAGAGTGTGCGCATCGAAAAAGACGCCACAATTTGCCTTAGCGCATAGACGCAGCTTGAATTCTGGGCCCTCGCACTTGAAGCACACCGGGCAGGACAGCTTTACTCTGTTTCTTCTGTCTCGAATGTCCTTCGAGGAGGTCCCAAATGACTTGTGGTATTTTTCGACGTCGGGGTGGATAACGTGTCCCACGAATGGGTTGTCTGAGCTTCCGGGTTTACTGGCCATCAGACCTACCATCATTTGAATAAGTACCGGATGTCGGGGAAAAGAATAATGGGCTCGGATGCTTACTGAAGAATGGAGCGCAGAATAAGAGTCGCTGAAAAGAACTTGCTAGTCCGTAGAAGAAGAAGACAAGCCCGTAATTGGCACGTGTCGACCAGTCGGAAAATCACAACACAACCATACAACGCGGTTGATAAATATTCATTCTCGCCGAGTTTTCACAAGTATTGAGAGGTCGCCACTGTCCATTCATCGATATAAACGTCCCCGACAACAAATGTTTGAGGCCGAAGGGTCAGTGACACCGCGGCAATTCGCACTGAGAGCAGACCAGCAGGATCAAGAGCTGAGCATTTTAAAGAAGAATGAATTCATAGATATGTATCATCTCGACTCGTTCTCGTACCGTGATATTACATTTTGTGTCAGCGTGCAAAATTCAGGGAGATCGCAACAAATATTCAAGAGTGTGCCTCGGTCTATCCGACGTAACGGCCTTCCCTCCGAAATTTCCATCAGGCTTGCCAGCTATCGCTCGATTCCCGTCCATGGTGAGCCACTGTGGACTCGAACCGGAGTATATTTGATGATAACGTCGAGTCCGAGCGAAATCAGGGGCTGGATGTCGGGCAAGATCTCGGGTGCCCGACGTCTGAACTCGATCTTCAATCTCCGGAGACTCGGTCTGTGATCCAGTGCGTTACGGAGCAACGTCCAGAGATCCATTTGATATGTTTCGAGGGCGAATTCGGTGAGAGCCGGGCAAAGCGCCTGCGAAGTCGCAGCGGAATTCAAGGCGAGGATACTGAGGAGATTTGGGGCAAAGATATTTTGCCGCTGCATTGCCGTTGCCGCATGCAGCGGCAATCTCTGCGGCAGTCTGCGGCAGTCAAGTCTGCGGCACATGTTGAACCGGTGTCAACCGGGGGAGTTGAGCCCCGAAACTGTGTAGGGATATAGTACTGTGGTTAATATACTGTTTAACATTGAGAGATGTGGGGGGTACTAATGGTTTTGACAGCGCTGGAGACGACTTAAGTATTGCTACAGCGGCAGTCTGCGGCAATCCTGCGGCAGACAAACAGCTGCAAATATTGTGCAGCGGCAGTCTGCGGCAGTTACAGCGGCACTTTTGGCACTTTGCTGCGGCAGTTCTGCGTCAGTCTGCGGCAGTCCTGCGGTTGTCAGCGGCAGTACAAGTCGTGACACAGCGGCAGTGTGACATGGCTGCAGCAATGTTTGACGGCACTCCCGCGTCAGTCAAGCAGCACTATTCTCATCCCTGCGGCACTCCAACGCTTCTTTCGGACGTTCTTACCATTGTTAATTTCCTCAAGCCATTAAACTCCTATCCAGAACCCCCTCAATGTATGTCCTTCCCATGATGTTGCCGTTCAACATTGTTTGTGCTCACCGTCGAATTTAATCTATCCAACCCAAACACCACGTATACCGTCTAAAATTTCCCATGCCCTCCGTTCTCTCATTTACCCTGATTGTCGCAAAACTTACACTGCTGAAAGTATCCCTCCTTGCATTTGATACTTTCAACTTGAAGTGCAGGTGAGCTTTCTGATCCGCCAACATCAAGGATGGTGTGAATATTGCTCAACCGTATGGGCCATTCTCCGTATATGATGGTTCTTATATTATACTGAAAGCATTCTAACACAATGTGGTAAGCCTATACTTCTTCAATGTGCGCGGCACTCTAATGGGTGGCAATAGTACATCCACGGCAGTCTGCAGCAAATTTTCGTACGGCACGATTAAGAACTCAATTTTTTCTGCAAGACTTTCCTTGTAGTTCCGTTACATGTTACAAGCCTAATTTTACATCCTTGGCAGTCAACAATACTTCTGAGGTGCGTGCGACACTACGGTCTGCGGCAGCACAGCCACCCTGCGGCAGTCTGCGGCAGTTTTGCGGCAATTTTTTTTTGTACGATCAAGCATACCAACATATAATTTTTGAGATGATGGGAGATTTGGATTGTTGCAGGTGCGAGCCATGCCCTAGTACTTGCCAAACTGATCAATTCTGCCTTTCAATCAAATCAACCAAAAAATAGTCCTCAATCGGGAAAACACTAGAGACCATGACATTCACCATGTAATCATTAATTGGGGCCCAATTTCTGAGGCCTCAAGAAGATACTCCCTATCCCTCTAATTTGTACTGAAATTTGTACTGAAATTCCTCCACAGTTGTGCGGCGAGGGTCCTGCGGTGTTCTCAACTTTGCATTGTCTTTCAACTTAAATATCACCATCCAAGTTGTTGGTCCCACCAGAAGAACAGATATTTTCTAAGACCTTCCTTGGAATGCAGTTGAATGTTTCAAGCCTGGTTCTAAATCTCTGGGATTCTACGGTGTATATTAGGTGCGTGCGGCACTCGGTCTGCGGCAACACAGCCACCCTGCAGCAGTCTGCGGCAATTCTTTTTTTTGTACGATCAAGTATACTAACAGATCGTTTTTGAGGCAATGGGAGATTTGGATTGTTTCAGGCTCATTGCATGTGGGCCAAACTGATCCATTCCACCTTTCAACTAAATTAATCAAAAAATGGTCCTCAGTTGGGAAACACTCGAGAGCGCGACACAGATAATAAAACCGGAAATTCTGGCCCACATTTTGTGTACTGGGCATGAGACCCCCTGCTCTTCTCATTGGGGCCAAATCTCATGGCCAACCTGAAGGTGTGGCTATTTTTATTGCGGATTCATCGCACAAGTACTCCGACATCAATTCTTAATGGCAACAACCCGCATTGCAACGAACTGGGCAACATTTCTGGATCAGTATCGTCGCTCACTGCTGGGTAAGTAATAACCCTTCCTACACCTGGTGATGTAAATAGCTAAATTTGCGGCTGAAGTATCTGTTTGTCACTCAAAGGCGAACTTTGACAGAACACAGTCTCCCAAACTGTCGATCTTGAAGCCAACCAGATCCACTTTGGTTCCTTCTCATATTTCTCCCCATCCCAGTGGATACAGCTGCGGGATGCACTTGAATGCGGGGCAAGCGGCTGCTAAATGCTTGTGTTTAATCCTGACGGATTGAACAATAAGTCTTCGATAGGGGCGCATCTCACTTTGTTCTCGCACCAAAGCGGCTTGTTGTTCATAGGTAAGGTAATATGTTTGCTCAGGGCGGAACCACGGCGTTCACATATTACTGGGTGAATATTCAACATTGGCAGCGCGGCGACTTCCGTGATGAGCAGCAGTGTTGCCGTGGTCAAGAGTATATTGATGTCTTCAGCTAGGCGAGTGTCCGGGGACGCCTACGATGTTATTTTATCTCAGAGAATATTGCTGCGGCACAGAGGTAAGATTGTCGCATGTACTGCGGCAATAATTGCGTGACACTGCGGCAGTGTGACTTATGCGTAAGCACGCTGCGGCAGTATTGCCGCTGACTGCGGCAATCTAAATTTGTGCTGCGGCAGTCTGCGGCACACAGCGGCACTTTCACCGTGCCCGGAGATTTGTGTCCGCGAAACGGTGGTCCACGGCACTGAGAGAGATATATCCAACTTAGTCAAATCATTGATTCCATTAAGCCAATGTGACGGAGGAGCGCAGGAAGAAGGAGAAAAAAGTGATGCCAGCACACGAACTATGTATGACCCGACCCCGATTCGAACGGGTGTCCTGCGGAAAGGCCATGCGATCCACTTCATGGGGCGCAGGTGCGGACCACCGCTATCGAGTCCGTCTGTTGTCTGCTGTCTTTCTCGATATGTGTGCAAACAAGGGAGACGAATGCGACGGGGCGACTATTGTCGAGAGCTCAAGCGATCTGGAATGTGGTGAACGAGTGTGCAGAGAGGTAGGTAGAAATGCACAGAGAGCAAGACCTACCATATATTATGTAAACATATATCGGAAACGACAAAAAAAAAGAATATGAGGCTCGTATGCGTATTAGCTCGAACCCGAGTCGAACGAGTGTACATCCTGCATCAAACGTGAGCAGATTCTTGGGACACCTATGATGCGCAGGCGCGGTCCCACCGCCATCGAGCCGATGCAAGGCTACCTTGGTCCCCGCCCAAATGATGGGCTGGTGGGATGGAGTGGAAAGGTGAAGCTGTCGACCTGGATGCTGGGAGGACGTCGACGCAGTCTGAATAAATGAAGTATCAATGCGAGATGAGAGCCAATGGATGGAGGGTAGAGAAAGCGCAAGAATACGGGAAAAACGTCAGTTTCACCCATCCCAAGGCCCGACCCCGAGTCGAACAGGTTTCCTGCGTATATTCCGGAAGGGCACAATACATGAAACGCAGGCTCGGTCCCACCGCTATCGAGTCGCTGCCAGGTGAGTAAGTACGTCGTTGGTTGAGCGCTTGAGCATGTGTGGTCGAGTCAGATCCCAGGGATCTATTGTTTCAGAGAGAGTATGTTCAACGCAAGGAAAAAGCGGATGTCGCTGCACCGAATGACTCGACCCCGAGTCGAACGGGCGTTATGCGCAACAGGGGAACCCGGTCTACGGAGCACGGATGCGGTCCCACCGCCATCGAGTCGCTGCCAGTACTCTTTGGTATGACTAGAATGGCAGACAAACAGTGCGCGAGAGGCTCATTCAGAAAATATTACGGAGAACATTGGATTCAGAGTCAAGCCGGAAGGAGGAACGTCGGTAGAAAGTCGGTGGTAGCCAGCCTAGCCATAGCCAGGCTGCTCAAGGTTGACATCGAATTGAGGGCTTTCTTGAATTGATTATCTAGTCGACGAAAAAGTATTGGATTGGCACCATAAGGATAGCAAAATCGGAATAGCGATCGAGGTGAGGGGCTCGATGCTACAGGTTAGCTGTCGCAGTCGCAGTCGCATCCGTCGGCGCCTCAGCTTCAGCCTCAGCCTCCGCTGTCGCTGTCTGTGGCATGTCCGTAACCCGCCCAACAATGTTGTAGCGTTTTCTATCCAGTTGAGTCAGTAAACCGGAATGACGGAGGGGCGCCACACACGCACGTGAAAAATCCATGCCAATCATCCAGTACTTTGCGGTCCGCCTCGTTCAGCTCACTATAGTCCGGGACCGCATGTTCCTCCTTCAGACTGGACATCCCGAGCCCTTTGGACCCGTCCTTGCCAGCGAAAATATTGTAGGAGCGCCCGGAGCCGTAGACTTCCGCCTTGGCCGACACGTCGAATACGGTGCCTGCGAAAGAGCTCAGAACAACGCAGAAAGGGGAGGATAAGATGAAGAACCCTTGATAGAGACGTAGATTGGCTTGGATGGGTCTGAGCCGTCGAATTCTTTGAGCTGCGCAAGTGTGAATGGGTCGTCTTTCGGCGGGGCCAGATCGTCTCTCGGGGCCTGCATGATGGACTTGACGGGTTTCTCTTCCGCGGGGGGTGACGGGGGTGTGGATGCGGGAGCTGCGGAGAAGTAGTAGCGACGAGCAAGGTACGCGACGGGGACGAGGAGCACGAGGGCGTATTTGACGAGGCCAAAGTAATCCATAAGCAGTCAGTCACGGCGTGACGCGTCACATTTGCCCTTGCTTTTGCCCACCACCGTCGTTTTGAGCGCCGAGGGCCTCAATGAGGTATGTTCTGCCGTATACGCCCTCAAATTTTTGGTTTCACGTTATGGACTGTTTCTTAGACCATGCCGCCTTTTCATGGCTCGATTCTCAGATTCCGAGTCAGTTCGAAGTCCCGGATATTTTACTGCTGCAGCTTGGCTGCAGCTGTACATCGTTAATTTTCTCTCCGACTACATCGACGGAAATCCGTTCGAATCTCCACAGGCTTTCTTCCGAAAGTTTCATCGACCGTCTTGGAGTAGTAGTCTAAGCTATTATATTTCATGTCCGACTCCCGGTCTAGCACCACATGGTCACGGTGAGTGATTCTCGCAGTCATATGTCTAACAAATGAGATCATCCTTAGTCTGAGAGCACAGTTTAGACATCGACAGCCATTCTCCGCATGTTTGATGATCGGCTTAATGTGCGCGATGTGCAAAACGCACTCCCCTCCATATCCGACGCAGATACCCGAGTACTGCAGCTTGGTGGCATGTCAGGCGTCAAGCTGGCTGCAGGACAGCATTTTAATGCTAACGACACCCGTGGAGCTCTTCCGTCGCAAAGTTTGCTCATTTCTTTTTTTATTCTGTCTCGACTTCTCCGAAGGTCGATAAGTGGGCGTGAGCCGCCGTTATTGTCTCCCCTCATTTTGATGATCAATCTAACTCATGGACCGCATAGGAATTCTGCCGCAAGCAAGGGGCACGTCTGCCGCAAGGCATTCATTTGTTTCTTGACCATCATCGGGCTGACGGAGTAAGTCCATTTTCCGCTCATCCTCCCGCTTTACCTTGCTGAATTGCATCCCTCTTTCAACTCCTCCCTTCAACTGCTCTGTATACCTTGAAAATTCATTTTGTGTGAGCCGGACGTTGCTGATCTCAATCTAATCAATCAATCAAGGATCTAATCACACACCCAAAACGGCCAGCAAAGCAATCGTGGCCGCTTCCATTGTTCCAAGCGACCTTTGACTCAAAAACGCCCTTTGTGGCTTTGGAATGTTCTGGGGCCGGTGGCATGACTCCGAGTGCGCCCGAGTGGCACCGCAGCAAAGGTATAAAGGCGGGCCCGGACAGATCATTGTTCCTCACCGCCCTCCCCCTCCTTCCTCCCCGGTGCGACTACTAGTATCCCACCATCCTCGCTCTTTGCTTTTTCAACTCCCTCTGAATAAACTAAAACTATCCCGCATGGATACTCGCCCCTCCATGTCGGCCACTTCTCTGCCACTCGACATGGAAGCTACGTTCCGCTCCCAGCTGATGGCAACATCCGCGTCGGCCATGTATCCACTCGCGGCTGGGCTCACAATGGCGCCAGGAATCGAGCCAACCATCCCTCGCCCGGTGTTCCTCATGCCGTCGTACCCGCTCCACGGCGTCGACCTCGCCTCGCTCCCGGAATACAGCCAGCGCTTCCTCGCCTGGAACGGACTGGACGACCCCTCCGTCCTCACCCCGGAGTGGATGGACCGCGTCCGCCAGTTTGTCACACAGTCGCTCGTGGACAACGTCGCGGAGCTCTGTCGCCAGATCGTGACCACGAACGTCATGTACAACGCCAACCGTGCTGTTCCGGGTTCGGAGGCGGCGTTGGCGGGCCTCGTCATGCACCTCCGCAGGGAGCTCCTCCCGCAGCTCAACGCACACGTGTCGCATCACCTGATGCTCGCGGACGCGCTGGTGTGGGTCGACGTCACGGCGCGCGCAGACGGCCCCGACGCGCTCAGCGTGGAGGAGGCAATGCACTATCGCGAGTTGCAGACACAGCCCATGGTCGACCTCGTCACCAACTACCTCGTCGACCTGTACGCGTGGCTGGCGGAGATGTGGAACGCGGGCTGGCGCATGGACGTGAATCGGGTACTGTACCGCGTTGGCACGCCAGTGGTTTTCGCCGCTGAGGATGCTACGCCCGTCGAGGCGGTTGCGTCAGCGGCCGCCCCCGAGCCCGTTCTGGAGCCTGTCGTTGTCCCTGTGGCTTCCCCTCCCCCGCGCCCTGCGTCCACGCCGATCTCCATCAGCCACCCGGGCACCCCGACTCCCCAATCCGACACCCGGGCCTCCCCGCGTACGCCCGAGCCCACCTCGCCGCCGCGCACCACGTGTATGCGGTCCCCGCCCCGGACGCCCACCAGTGCGCCCTGTTCCGCGTCGCGGACCTCCCCGCGCAGCAGCCGCACCCTCACGACCCCTCGGAGCGCGTCGGTTCGCCTCGGGCGCACTTGGTCCAGCTCCCCCGGCGCGCCGCGCTCCTTCACCGTTATCGAGAGATCAATATCGAACATGGCGTTGCTCACTATCGCTTGGGAGAGAGACCATTGATGAGATTCCGGGAGCACGCCGAATTGGAAATGGACAAAATGTAGCTATACCGTTTGTAGTTCGCTGTAGTTAGTAGGTGTAACGTGCTCTACGAATAAATATATGTTTTTCTGCTTCGACGTGTGCCTCTTGTGATAACTACTATAATCTCCTTTAAAAAATCGCTGACATGTCTCTTCTCTGTGCCGTCGTGGTCCGCAAGAAATATGTAATTATAGGTAATACTTACTGGTGGGGAAAATTCGTTCAGGCTGTCATATCCTAAGTATTATGTCCATGGAGTGTCCATCCTGTAAATCATCGGAGTCATTACACAAGGGGCATAACCCGATGAATCATGCAAACATAGACAAAACATAGGTTGGTCACAATTGTAATGAGTTTCATATGTTACACCAAAACTTTTTTGAAAAATTTCTAAAATGTGTTTCGAATGAAATCTGCTGAAATACTGGAAACACATTTCTTGTACATTCTGCATATGTTTTTACTGTGAATACACTGTTTCTAATGTGAATACACTGTGAACATATAGTGTATTCACGGATTATTCTATTTAACAACCCCCCTTGTTGAAAACAACCCGGGTTGTTGGATCAATTATTCTATCCAACAACCCCCTCTATTTATAGAGTTTGTCACAGAGTGGTTGCGCTGGAGGGCATTCCCCCTACTGTGGCAGAATTGGTGCTAGCACTCCGCGTCCAGTCCAGATTTTACCTCAAAAAGGATTCTAACTTAGATACTCAAAGAATGCCGGTCTCGTCGGATGCGTGCCGATACTGATCCGAGACAATCGGCACCTTTGTTCCAGGCTGATGAAGGCCAAAAGCGATCATAGCATTCATTCGGCATTTAAGCGGTAAAGGCCAAGGAGAAATTTCATTTGACCATGAACCATTTGACCATCAGTCCAATTGGCAAGGTGCGGCAAGGCTTCCAGCGAGGTGCCCGGCAACCACACGGCAAGCAGTTGCCCCAAAAAAATAGCAGGTAAATTTGAAAGATGGCCAAAGTCGAGCTGCAATCTGGAGTCCGTAATATATTTCAAGTGGTCGTCTGGACGGGCTTATAAGACTGCTGATGCGCACCAGTATGCGCTGTTCCCGGAAAATCGACCATGGGCGAAGCTTTCATTTCCCGGAAAATTGCCGAC